CCGTTTGTTCAGTGAACACCTGGGATAGGATAAACCTCGGCAACTGGTTCCGATTTTGCCACCGGCTGCTCGCCAACAAATTTACAGCGCTGTATCAAGTTCACGCATGCATAGAACTAGCAAATTACTGTTCGAGGTATTAGGACGCATGTTGTGATACTGTATGGCTCAACTGCACAGGAGCATTGCACTTGGTAGCTGGCTTTGGATTTTGGACTTCCGGCTTAAGCCCTGACAGAACACCAAGCATATTGAGTCATTAAATCGTATTTCGGAAGTCTCAAACTAATCAAACTCTCCTCATTTTAGAGTTGAAGCTGCATCTCGAGCCAAAAATTTGCAAAGGAGTTTCTTCAACTGTTGCGTGACCCTCACGGTCAGTTTTCGCAGTGGAAAATCGCCACCTCGTTGATCGTGACAGAAAAATTGTACTTACCTTGACTTTGTACATGGAGTCATCATGTCGCTTTCTCCACCTACGTCTCGTCTTCCTTGGAAACACAGCTGACCATTTATCTCAATGCCAATTCGGAACTGATGCGGAGAAGACCAGTCTGAGTAAATTTCTTGCCTTCTTGTTAACGGTGATTTTATAAAGATCCAAACTGCAATTGTTAGGTCAGTTTTTTGGAAAGGAACTGATGAAGTCTCTGCGAACGTCCCTTGGGTTCCGTCTAAATACAGAACAGTTCTGCCGCTTTTCCGGACAAACTTTGCCGCTCCTCGTAATCTAGAAAAAACAAAAGTGATTTTTAATAAATCATAGGGCTTAACGATGACGTGAAAAAATAATTAAATTCTTTAAGAAGATCTTGAAGAGAAGGTGAAAAAAAATTCTGAGGAAAAAGAGTCGTGGGGTCTGTTGCGCACAATCAGAAACCGCCAAAACATTTCATGCTTAGGCAACAAACTGCCGGAAAGAACATCGCTCTGGACAGCAACTAAGAATAAAGTTCTGAGCCGAAAAGAAAATGATTAGGCCTAAGAAGCAGATGAAATAATAAAAACATTCTTCCAAAACTTATCGCTAAAACTGGAAACCTAGAAGCCACGTATGGTATATAATTCCTTAGTGTGTAATTTTGTAAGTATTACCTGGAATTAAGAGTAAAATTATCCTCAATGAGTTTTATCCCGATTTTCCTATCCTGAGCCCTCTTTAATAATACTACCTCAATTCCCGTTGTAGAATAATTTAAAACGACAAAGCATTTTTTTCGTCAGCACTTATCCTAAAGAACTCGATTCCTTACGTTAGCGAGCTGTCCGTGCCACTGAGTGTCCAGTGAAAGAGGGAACCTGGAAAATTTTATTGATACCATAATTAATGTTTCAATGGCAATAATTTTTTATTATTAACACCTCAATTAAGCAACCGAAGAAAGAGGAAGAATTCAAGAAGGTTCTGCTCTGCGCATGCACCTGGTAGGAGTCATGCTTGGAGGATAGGGTCAATTTTCCACTGTCCACTTCAGCAATTTCCATGCGTGATTAATATTATTGAAGGAATTGAAGACATATCTACCTTATAAATGTGATGAATATTTAACATTGCTATAATTGCTCGGGTGATAATAGAGATGCGTATGCTATGACTGGTCGAGAATTGCGTCATATCTCAGGGGCGCTAAATTTCAAAATGGCTGCCTCGCGTTTTGGCAATGTCATACAGGAAGCGGCAAACGCAAAAGAATAAAACACAATTCTAATCATCAGACTCCGATAATCCCCTCGACTTCGTCTTAGGGATTATTCAACAATATTCACTGAGCCTTAGCAGAATAATTGTTAAGTAATTCTAAGATAGAAAATAGAGAAGAGGAGGAGGAACAGTTCAAAAGTTTTCAATTAGTTTTTTGGAGGTCTCTCTGCAAAAAAGTTGATTGACAAATGATCCAGGAGTACCTCTCTCTTTGTAGCACAACTTCGTGCTAAAGAGAAACGAGGTCACTAACTATAAACCAAGATATGTAATTGAAAAGAAGCAACCCATGATGCTTCAGATTTCGCGGGTAAAAATCTTTACAAATCAAAATTATTTTATATCTGCGAATTGTTTGAAACGTCAGCATTGTAATTGTTAAAAAAGAGAAAAAATAGACCTTTTGTCTCCAAATAACAATTGGTCCACTCGTTCTTGCCGGTATTGTAAGGGTCAAGCCAGTAATGACCATTAACAGCCTGTTCTCCTTCACTCGCCTTAATTTCTGCGCACGACTTGGCCGGCAGTTCAGGGATCGAGCCAAGAGGAACTGAAGATAAAAATTGTGAAAAATTTAATGGATTTAAGTGATTTATAGAATACAATGTACTTCAGTGCATTACCACTTTCATTATTGCTTGTGAGCAGGTCTTCAATAATATAGCTTTTCGGAACAAGCGGTTTCTCGCTTGCGTGAGAGCACGAGGCTTTGAGGAAAGGTTTGCAAGAGGTTTAGCACTCATTTTAGTGCTCCTGTGTAGTTTACTGAACTAAACAAAGACCCTCTCAAACAAACCTCTCCCCGACTGGTCTCAAATCTTCCACGACCCCTCATTCTTGCTGTGTTTGAAAAGGATCTTATTTACTTAAAAACTGAACGGGCGTCCTACAGAGCTCTTAACCCTTTAATCCCTAAGAGAGACTAGCATCTAATTTCTCCTTACAATATCACCCCTGAATCACTCATTTAGGCCACGAGAATAAAGGAAATGATCACCAAGTAGAGAAGCTCTTGATTTTTAAACAAATTCTCCTTGTCAGCATATTAAGAAACGTATAGAGAGCAGTATGGAGAATATACATACTGATGTTAGGGTGTAAAGGGTTAATGAGGGCCTTCTCGTGGGCCATGAACTTAAACCCTTGAACCCCTAGCGACTCCAAATCTAATTTCTCCTCATAGTGTCACTCCTGGATCAAACATTAAGGTCATGAGAATAAAGAAAATGATCAACAACTAAAGTAGCTCTTGATTGTTAAACAAATTCTCTTGTCAGTTCCTCGGGAAATGTATACAGAACACTGTGAAGAATATGCATTCGGATGTTAGGGTGTATAGGGTTAATTACTGTGACGATCGCTACTACCACCAACCTCTATCACTACCCCTACCACCATTACAGCCAGTATCACGGATGATATCCAATGGCCGGGGGGTGATGGCTTTTACGGCAGACGGTTAAAGTTTGGCCATTTTACGGCTAATGGTTAACATCATTCTTCTGTTGTCACCAAAATTTTTTTTTACGGTTAACTTTCTTTTTACGACTATCGGTTAAAATTTGTCAATTTTTACGCCTTACGGCTAATTTTGGCTTTATTACAGCTATCGGCTATCCTCATGGAAAACCTCCTCTAACAAACGACAACTTAACAAGTCATTGTTCATCAACTTACCCGTTGCAACAAAATAAGAAATACAAACTAGGAACGAAGCAAAAGAAACTCCACTACATTTCCCCATGATAATCTCTAGAGGAAAATCTTGGAATACACTTGGGAATAAACCTTGGGCAACCGATAAATTTAATCAACACCTTAAGCTATTTTTTTTAACACCCACCTCTATTAAGATATACCGTCATGTAAATCCGTCTCGGATCTACTACATAGCCATCTGGTCTTGCCTCCATGCTACGATTATTCAGTTCGCAGATATGTTCTTCAAATACAAAGTTGATGCTCTGACATCTTTTTTCTTTTTCACATCTCTTGACGCAAACATCCGGGCTGTTGACCCCGAATGTGTCATAGGTGTGTCCTTTCAGAGCTCTTGTGAAAGTTGACTCTTGCGATTCGCACTTGCTGATGGCATTAGCGCATGGTGTCCTGTATACCATAAGTAGGAAAATAACCGCACACAGCACTCTCAGAACTTTAAAGGTCTCCATATCACAGCTATCAGCATATGCGGCTCCTTTAATGTACCAAAAAGTAAGTTTTTTCAGAACCAAGTAATCGTTTCTCATACTTTTCCACTTATAGCCAAGCGAAACAGAGGGGGCTGGGGAAGAGGGGCTATAGCTCTACCCTCCATCCCCCGAAAAAAATAGAAAAGAAAACTTTGGGAATGAGACTTGTGTTGTGCACCTATCCCCCCTATGTAGAAAATTTCGCAAGCTTAACCTAAAATTGGCTTGGCAAGATCTAAAGTTTTTTCTCAAGTTATTTAATCAAGATCGCGCTTGGCGAGAATAGGTAAATCGGTGGCGGTATTGTACTGATAAGAAAGTGATATTATAAAACATGGCGATTTATAAGGCTTGCATTGAAAATTGAAACTGCAAAAAGAAAAACACTTCTGATTTCACGAAGAAGAGAAAACCACTTATGGACTTAATTTTAGACATTTGCTTTTGTTTTGGCTGGTTTTAAAACCCTGTCTTTATCCTTACTGACCGATAACCACTTTTTACTAATTAGCTGACGGAAAACACGGAAAGATTTGAGAACATGGAGGATGGGTAACTGAGCTCTGAGGTATTTGAGCTCTGTTCAATTTTTTGGGAGTGCATCATCTCTCGACAAACACAGAACTGTCCTAGGAAGTTATTGTGTTATATCCTTTTCAAAGCCACAGTTTATGCACATTTCAAGGGTATTTCCTCTGCTTCACCTTGATACATGCACACATAAACATATAAGTCATCAAAGTACGATGTTATATAAACATTGAAATCCTGGTAACAAACATTAAGCCATCACCTAAGGCTACGCCAAGATGATTTGACGAAAAAAGACAAACCAATTAGCGTACTTAACGAGGGAGGAAAAAGACTTAACTTAGACTACTATAAAACAGGTGCATTTGTAGGAAGGTTACATGGGAATCTGGAGGCATCTTTTCCAAAAATATCATCAGGTTTCCCCTTCTCCCCTCTTCCCCACTATCTTCAACCGCGGATTTCTTAATATTAGAGACTGGTCCATTCCGATAATGCAAACAAAATAAACCATATCCTTTCGCGAATCATCTTCTTCAGGTCAAAAAGGCTTACAACCAGTAAGAATCTAGAATTTCCCATGCCAATAAATTCATGTTTTCTCAGGGATTTGACTCAAAGGAAAATTTGTCTTTGTTTCACTTAGTTTGACCGAATTGATTATAACAAGGAGCATTTTCGCTTTGAGCATAACATATGCTGAATAGAATCTCTTGATGCATT